GCAGACAGACCTGTCTCTGTTGGAATTTCATAATAAACTTTAACAAGTTGTTCTTAGGTGCTTTCTGTCATGCTTATTGATGGGAACTCAGTTTTTTCCCACCTAAATTTTACCAATGACTCCCCTCAAGGAGAGGACAACCATGGTTACTGAATGTGTGTTCTTCAGAGTATGTGTCTTCTGTTTTATTAACTTCCTTTTCTACTATTACTGTGGTTTTGCAGTGGCTACCAGAAAGACTTGTACTCTCCTTTTGAAGCAGCTTGTTTGTAACATTATTTTCTGTTGTTGGGGAAATGTAAAAACAATGCATGACAAAGAATCTTCTGGCAGCCACACTAAATATATTTTCAGCAGTTTGTTAGACTGGGGAGAGACTTGAGCCAGATTCTGGGAACTTTATACAACTTCTGTCTCCCCAAGTTTTTGAAAGCTTCAGATTGAGGCCTCCATGTACTCCTTACTAATAGAGACTCCTCTTTAATGTTAAAATGTATTTATTTTATTGGAACATCCCATTAGAAAGTAAAGGGCTTGAGTCCAGACAGCATACAAGTAATTCAGGTGTACTTGATAGGAAATGGAATAGTGCATACAGTAAAGAAAATTGTATAAAGGAATCAGGCCTGAAATCAAGATAGCAACAATTCCTGGATGTCTTTATTCTATAGTTAGAGAGGGGAAATTTTACTTTAAAAAAAAGTGCTAAAAATTTGAGGTCCCTTTCATGGATATAATTCCCAAATTTGTGAAGAATGAATTGTTGGTGCCAATTTTTACACTGTGTAGCTCCATAGTTATCTTTGTTATGCTGACTGCATAAATTTTTTTGGTGATGTGTCTGTAGAAGGCTGGTGTTGAGTCTGTAACACTGACACTCTGATATCTTTTCCTTCTCTTTCAGCTAAGCAACTATTGGTAAAGATCAAAGAAAAGGAGGAGGAGGGCTGACAAGAAACAGTGTATGAGAGATGCCTGCACAGCTTTAATAAATAAAAAGGGGTTAAGGCTTCAAATCTCTTGCAGGATATCTGTGCATGTGGGGCCCTGTTTTGCTGTAACAAGCTACATTACAGCATACTGTCTTATTTAGACCTATATGAATCTCATACTTTGAATATTAATATATATGAATAAAAGAAAATTTTAATTCACTAGAAATATCTGACAATATTAAACAGTTGTTAATCTACCAGAAGCCACTTCTTTTTCAGCTATTTTTTATGTTTCCCTCCACAGCAAAACTAGATGTGTGGCTTTTAATGTCAATGTCTAGTTTGTTTCACTTTCCAATACACAAGAGTTGAGGAATGTATAATAACTTTCCCTCCCTTCAGAAACCAGCAACTCTACATTGAAACTTAACAAGATAAAATGGAAAGTAAAAGATAATAAATACAAGGTAAAAATTATTTCACGGTTTGAAATATTGTCAGTTAAAATAAGGCTTTTCAGGGTATATAGGAATATTGCTGAGACCTCACAAAAAACATCGATGTGCTTGTGTTATCTAAGTAGTAAAAATGTTTGAACAGGTGGGTCAGGAGAGCAGCATTATGATCCATGAGACATGACACTTCCCAATACACTGAGAAGATATGACACTGTGTTTCTTCTACTTGGGTAGAGACAAGCTGCAGTTGTGTATGAGGGGCTGCAGGTGAGGTGTGGACTCTCCTCTAAAGCCCTGCTCACTCTGGCCCTGCAGATGGAACATGCTTAGGCCTTGTGTTAATGCTATAGGTATTACTCTAATAGATTTATGTCAAAACTTACCTTCCTTTTTCAAAATTTTGTGTTGGTTGTCCAAACATATGACAAGCTCTTGTTAAGAATATGTCCACCTAGGGTTTTTTTAATGGCCATATATTTTAAATGATTTCTATTTTCTTGCAGCTTCCTTGGTATGTTTCAGGTGAGTGTGAATAAAACTAACAGTAACTAAGTACAAATGTTAAAATCCTGAAGTTGTGATTTAGTGTATGTGTAACTGAGTGTGTTTCAGCTTTGTTGGTTCTTCAGGATTCAAAACAATAGTGACGTTACTGATTAGTGACTTATAGTACACTAAAATCAGAAGAAAAATTGAGCTAAAATTTAGGTCATAAATGGTCTACCAATGATGGACTGGTGCATATGTGAAAATGGAGGTAATTATGGTGTGTCATGAAATTTTTATTAATATAGGTTTGTGATGTTCCCCCTGCTTGCAAATAGTGAACATGTAAACAAGTTGTGTAGTTCATTACAAGCAAAATGCCAGTCAATGCTGTGTGTCTTTTCTTTCTGCCAAAATAATAATCTAACTGTTGTGGGATTCTACATGAAAAACACAGTGGGAAAATTATACGGACATGTGAGCAAAGCCTGATGTCTTTGTTACCGCGGGTGAGACTTCCCACTGCTCTGATATGGCTGCTCTGTCCTTGGGCGTCCTGGAGATTCCTCTGAGCAAGGCAGTGCTGTTGACTGGTTCTCCTAGCCAGGAACGTGGGGTCTGCCTGGGAAAAGGCCTATCAACAATCCAAGGTCATCTGTGCCTGTTCTCACTGTTTGTTGCTTTTGCTGGTAGCTGATAAAGGCCCAACAGTATGAATAACAGGAGCAGCCAGGGAAACGTGTGGCTTCATCCCATTTTTGCAATACGTTCCCTGCCAAGCTGCACCAAGAGCTTCTTGCCTGCAGAGCAAGAATGGGCCTATATATCCAACAAAACAGGACCAGAGGGACTCATTAAACTCCTAAAAATGACCTCAAGCAGGGTTTCTTAATTATCTGAAAATGTCACCAGTTTGCATTAGGAAATCTCAGGGCTTTCTAGAGCTTGGCTGGATTTTGGTACCTTCTCTCATTAACACAAATCTCTCTCCTGTTCTGCAGAGTGATACAGTCCTAGGCTATTTTTTTCTTACATGTGAAGCAAAATCATTATTATCCCACAAGCAAATATTGCCCATCCTACAGTAAGTACTCGAGTGTTTGCCATTAAGTGAATATCACGGCAACAAGAAAAGTCGAACCAGAAATCCTCATAGAAGCGGGATGAGATGTAGCTTGCTCGTCTGTGGCTGCCAGTTCAGGTGCACGCTGTGCCGTTTGTTTCTCTGCAGCACACACAACTGTTTGCTTGTGACAAGTCGGCAGTTTGTGGTTAGCTTTTCCTGTGAGCAGTGAGAGTACTGAGCAGGAGGGTCTGAAGTCGCATTCAATGTCACCTGGACTACTACGATATTAAATAATATAGTGTAATATGATAATGGAAACATTCTTAAAGATTACTTCCCAGAACTGTTTTGGGATAGATCTCAGCAGCTTGGCAACTCTCCAGCTGACAGAAAGCTTATTTCTCCTAAGCAGTGCCTGTAACCAAATGGCTTAGATTGCTTTGATGGAAGAGATGCTTCCCTCCAGGGATATTATGCCTGGCACAGTACCTAAGTTGACCTAGTAGCTGGAATAGGCAATATTTCAGAAAGAGGGACCTTAGACGGATCTTTAACTTTTTGCAAACTTCTGATGAATACTTAACGAACGGGAAACCACTGGATTACACTTGTGTACCTGTCCTCACTGTGAGTGACAATGATACTCTTCCTATTCTCCATTTCTCTTCCTTTTCTCATTTGCCCCCGTATTGCAAAGTTTTATTTTGTAAAATAATTGAGCAAGAGAGATTATGGTTGTCTTTACTTTTTCAAGTTCAGCCCAGGAAGATGGCTATTTCTACTTCTGTTAATATCTCACAAACATCACTACTTCTATTCTTTTATTCATTAAGTTGTGAATAAAATTTTTTTTCTAGTTTCCCTACTTTTACTGCTTTGACACTAGCATGTTTTAATTATTTTGTTGAATTTCTTCTGAATGTGTAGATGCAAAGAAGGGGGATGCACGATTTTGGTGGTGCTTGTTTGTGTTTTTCAGAGGGACAGAGGATGCCTGTAGGGAGACGAGACCTTTGAGAGTGGGAGAAAAAGTATGAGATGACAAAGCTGACATTACTATCAGACAAGCAGAAAACTTCTTTGTTTGATTCTGTTCCTGTTGGCACTTAATTTACACTGGAGCAATTTCGTGAACTTCACTGAGTTTACTTCTGAGAGTGAGATCAGGATCTGAGAGTGAGATCAGGACTGACACCTCTTAAATCACTTGGGTCATGCTCCATAATTCATTCGCAAGCTCCTTTAATTAGTTGTAGGTAAACCCAGGCTTCCTGGAGTTCGGTGCCTCCCCAGGAATGGGCTCTGCTTGCTCCCTGCCGCGCTCCGGGGTCCAGCCTCCGGCTCCTGTCTTATCGCAGGGCTGCATGTCCGGTGAAGCGCGGGTCAGGGCTCTTCCCCCCCGCGGCTCCCTGAGCCGGACGGAGACGGGGGCCCGGCTCCCGGCGCGCCAGAAGTTGTTCTGTGGGAGAGAGGAGCGGGGCAGTGCAGGGCCGGGCGGGCGCTCCGGCCGCCGCGCGTTATGTAAGGGAGCAGGGGCTGCGGGCCGGGATGACTGACAGGGAGAGGGAAATTCCTGGGGGAGGGGGAGCGACACTGCCCTGAAGCCGCTGCCAGAACCGGCGGCTCACGGAGACCTGGCGGGGAGCGCGGCTATGCCGGAGGGGAAGCAGCGCGGGAGGAACGCTGCCGGGCAGAGTGCGGAGCGAGCGGGCGGCGCGGGCTCGTTCCCCCGGCGGGGCACGCCGCCTGGGAAACAGGGGAGCAGCGGCGGCGGTGCGAGGGTACGAGGAGCGAGCCCGGATTCCCCTCTCCCGGCTCGGCGCGTTCGAGCTGGGGCCGGAGCGCGGCGGGGAAGTGGCACACCGGAGCCCGGGGTGTCCCCCGGCGCGGCGCGGCCCCGGCGGCGGCGCTGCCCCTTTAAGACCTGCTCGCCGGCAGTTCCAGGGAGAGGGAGTGACCTCTGGGCTTTGACAGCTCCCCTAATAACTAGCAGCGCCCCGGCCCCGCCCCCGCCGCGCCATTGGCCGGCGGGCCGGTATGCCGCGCTGCCATTGGCTGGCCGCTTCCCCTGAGCGAACCTTTAGAACTCCGAGACACAATATTCTGTTACATTGTAGCAAAATGGCGACTGTCATTCACAACCCCCTGAAAGCGTAAGTAGGAATCAAAAATGTACATATTCCGCGTGGTTTAAATATGAAAAAAGGCGCCTTTCCGGCGCCGGCTGCCAGCCGGAGCCGGGTGCCGGCAGCCTCCCGGCGGGTCCCTCCTCCCGCCCTCCTTTCTGCCCCAACGACTCGCTCGTTTTTTGTGCAACACATCCCCACGGCTCGCGCCGAAATTAACGAGGAAAAAATTGTTGGGTTAATTGGCGCCCGGGCGCGGGGCGGGGGGCGGCGGGCAGGGGGCGGCGGCGGGGAGCCCGCCCGGCGCTCCCGGGGCTCAGCGCGGGGTCGGCGGCGGCCGCGTCCCGCGGGGGTGCGCGCACTTGTCAGCGTCCTGTCCCCGCTGCCCCGGCGGGCTGGCCCCGCCACCGCGCCCGGCGGGGCACGGACCGGCCCGCGGGGGCGCTCGGGGCGCGGTGCCTCCGCGCTCCCACCGCGGCTCGGAGTTGCCTCCGCAGGTCTTTGGGGAGTTGCGATGTCTTGACGAAGCAACCTCCCTCGCTTCTCGGCTGGGCGGTCGGAAAGCGGGGCAGCGGGGGATCTGCCGGTGCGCCTCGGCGCTCGTGCAGGAGAGGGAGCGGAGAGGAGAGGAGAGGCAGGAAAGCAGACTTGGGTGAAATGAATGACTCGGGACTGCCGGTCGCTGATTTTGGGCAGGAAGTCCGGAGATCTGTTTTGCATATGACAGGCTTTCGCTTTTCAAAGTGGCAAAGAGAGTTGATTGTGTTTCCATCTTGAGAGCGGGCACAAGCCACCGAGGGCTGCACGGACGGGGGCTGACCCGAGCTTGAGAGAGGGAGGGGGCAGGTACTTCTGCTGTGGAGGTATTCCAGGGTTCCCGGTCCGGAAATAAGGCTGATTTCTGAGGGGCACCGCGGGAGCCGGTTGTCGTCTTCTGGATCGCGTCCTTTATTTTCCTTGTGGTCTGCAGCGCACGCCGCTAATCCCCGAAGGCATTAGGGAGAGTGGGATTTGGCACCGTATGTGGGGAGCGGAGCTGTCTTAACCTTTTTCAAACGACTTCCCTGCTAACGGGGGCAGCGCTCTTGCTAGTAAAGCAGGGAAGCAGAGTACCTGGCGGTGACGCTTCGCTTGCACTTTCTGGCTGCGCTGAGTGGGTGTTTTTATACCTTTGAGTTTTGTGAGATGAAATTAAGGCTGCGAGGTTTTTGCTTTTTCTATTTTTTTTTTTTTCTCCGACTCGTGTCTCTCCGGCTGGAGTTGGAAAAACACTTGAAGGTTTTTCCAGGGATTTCTGCCGCTGTCTTTCTGCGATCTGAAGGGAAAGGAAAGCCTCGAGCTGGAAAGGGGTGCTGACATGTTTATCAGCTCTCCTGCTCCGTCCTGGCAGAAAAGCTTTTGCTTTCATTTACTCGCCCTCTCGGATATAAAAATCCGCGGGGCGGGGGGAGCGCAGTTGCAGGGGGTTAAATCAAAGAAGTCTGAGTGTCCTCATGGGTGGGTGGCGAGGGACTGAACGCGCTCTGAAAATGAAAACCGCGCGGCAGAGGCGGCGTGCCCCCCCCTCCCCGTTCGACGGCAGGTCTGACACTCGTGCGGGCGACAGCGATTTCTCCCGTGCCCCTCCCGGCCGCCGGGCGCACCCCGGGGCCGCTCCGCACCTGGGCACGGAGCACCGCGGCTGTGTGCGCCGCTGGCGGCTGCTGCCGGTAGCGGGGAAGCCCGGGCTCGGTGGCCCCTGGGGACGGCGGGCGGGAGGCGGGGAGCTCCCGGGAGCGGCCACGGGAGCACGGCTGGCGGCCCCGGCCCCCGCCCCGCCGGCGGACGGGACCTTGTCGCCTCGCCTCGCACTTCGTGGCACCGTGGGGCTCCTGGCGGTCGCGGCGGACGGATCCTGCCGAAGGGCTGCTCGTGCCGAAATGAATCGGGGCCCGATCCCGCTGCTGCTAAAGTCGGGGAGGACAGGATGAGGCCATTTATAATTAGCTCCCTTCTCCTCCCCTCGCCCCTGGGGGGTGTGAGAGGAGGAAACAATAGACATCAAGTGCCGGGTTCGCTTTTCTCTATGTGCCTTTTAAAGTACTGAGGCTATGTGGAGGAAGCAGAATTGGTACTGGCTGTCTGACACCATCTGTAATTTTGTTGACAACTTGTTTAATAAAACATTTTATAATTTTCACTTATTCTTTAAAGTTGCTGATCGGGAAACGATACACATGTAAATAAATTATGCATAGGATAAATTAGGACAAAAGCAGTAGGACACATAATAGGGGAGGGATGCAGTGCACAGTGTTTTATCCTCATGTGTCCTTCCTGACAATGAACGGGAGCTGAATGGCATTTGCATTTCCTCTGTCTGCGTTTTGATTGTATCTCAGAACCCACAAACGCCCCCTACAGAAACCGGCCACACAAAGGTTTTGCTCCGAAATGGGGGACAATGTAGGGACTGAGAAATCCGGACTCAGGTATCAAGCAGCCCCTTGTGTGTGTTTTTGCGTTTAAGAGCGTCCAATATTCAGTTTGTCTCTGGCACTTGGACACACATGTGGCCTTGTTCATGCCAGACTGGTCCCTCTGAATAATGTATTCCAGTACCTGAGCATCTGTGGGAATGTATTTCATAGAATAGCTCAGTGTGTGGAGTTCCTCACTAATGATTGGTTTCTCCCTACTCAACTTGCCTCTTTCTCTGTCCAGCACTCTCTTATCACTTTCTGGTTCTCTTTTGGTGCTTTCATCCCTTTGCTCTTCTTCCCTTCACTTCCTCTGGTGAACCAGTCAACCTGACACGACTGCCTGTTATTTCTGCCATTTTTTAGCTTGTTGTTTACCAACATGGTGCTACAGACAAAAATATCTGAGATCTAAGTTTAACAGATCTGCAAGGTAAAGGTGGCAGATGTTTGGACAAGCACATGCTTCTTCATCTGTGGAAACGGCAGTATTCTGACAGTTTTGATGGGACAGAAGTGGATTCTAAGTGCTGAATTTGTTGTTGGTTTTTTTTCCCCCACTAGTTTATGTATGTATTTCCATATTTTTTGTTTCCATCTTCTTCTCCTTTGGATATTTTAATATGAAGACATTTGAGTGGTGCAGTAGAAGAAACAAATGCATTTTAAAAGTATTCTGAATTACTTCAAATGTCAGTCAGAAATCTCAATGGACTTTGTAAACATTAATTAATTAAACCTCTCAACGCCCGTGTGAAGAAAGGATTATTGCCTTTGTTTTATGGATGGCTAAACTAGGACAAAGTGGTTCAGAATCTCTCTTAAAGATGAAGTCTAGAATGCAGGCATTCAACTTCCAGTTTTAGCATTTAGTCCCATTTCCTCCATTGCTGCCTTATTAGTGATATGCATATGGCACCATAATGCACTTAATGTAATTAAGACCTTGTAATTTACACAGTCTTGTCTAGAAGTAGAGCTGGTTTCCTCCCACCCTTTCTCTGTCTTTACTCCCACGAATGACTTTTATTTCAGGTTGTCAATTAAACGCACTAAGCGGAACATAGGTTAGGTTGTTGCCATTTCAGCATGTGAGATCCCCGTGCCCTATAGCGCTCTGCCTGGACACTCACCAGAGGGCTGCTACCTCCCAGTAGTTTAGCAGTGCCAGTGCTCTCCTTTTTGCTCAGGACTCTCAGCCTCTGGGACAAAAGAAGCTAACTCAGGCTCAACTGCTAGGCTAGCTCACTTCCATGCTGACTGCATTCATTGTTGGATAACTTTGACGTGCTTGGGGACACTTATTCTCTGCCAGGTGTTTGGGGAGCAGATCATCACAGATTTGTGTGCACAGTGCTAGAGCTGATGTACCAGGCCTGTTCTGTCTCTGCATTGCCACTGCAAACACACAGCAGCAGTTGGGTTTTCAATTGCTGTACCTTCTCAGATAAAATTGCCTTGACAGCCAACTCCGACCTTTGGGCTGCCAAATGGCCTTCCTTGTGATTATGAATTCTGTGTCATGAGACACCTGTGAAGAAGTGGTCTGTGTTCTCATCCCTGTTTCACATTGGCAAGACACCAGTGTGGGTCTTGGGGTCTTGTATGGCAAGACTATTTCATTAGTGATTACTCTGGCTTGAACTCAGACTGAGGACTCTTAACTGGAAGGTCCTGTATCCCATTACACATCCCTGAAGCAGCCCTATGTCTTGATTAAGTGCTGATGAAGACTGATTTTTTTTTTTTTTTTGGATGTTGTTGCATAAGCATCTGGTTGCTGATATTTAATATTAAAGTGAAAGTATAATGTGCAGTGCTGCTTTCAGCAGGTGGAAGCAATAAAATAGACAGACAGTTAGGTTGCCAGTTCAGTGTTTACAAGTGATGTGGAGGTGATTTTAATGTGCCCTTGCAAAAGGGAATTTTCTTCTGCTTGACAGAACAGAGTTTGTTGGGCACATTAAACCATGTACCAAAATCTCTACAGCAATTCCAATGTGGCTCTGATGTTACTTAAAAACATAAATGAGCCCTAATGTGACACACTTCAAATCAAAACTGTTGTCCACATGAAAACCATATTTTCTAATATCTCAGTAGCAGCTTTCAGAGAAAGCAGGTTGTATGTTACTGTGTTTACACAGGGAAATATAAGCATAAAACCAAAGTCATTGGAAAGCAGAAAAGGCAAGTTAAGGAGACCTGAGGATACACTGGCTTTGAATAGGAGAGGCTCTGATAAATGGCATGTTGCTTGTTACAGTGTTATGTCTGATTCCACCAGTCACTTATGCATGATTAGTTGTTGCAGTGCTTTTGTAATTTTGTTTTGTTGGTCTTTCAGTCTTTCACAGTCTATTTGTGTGGACGGGTGGAAGTTGTATCTCAAAATTGCCACTGAAGAAAAAGTTTTAAAAACATATTTCTGGTGTGTGAAAATAATGTTGAGCTATCTGGGTTGTGCTACAGAGGCCCAAAGGTATGATTTTTTGGAGGGTGCTATAACTTCAAGGTAAGCATATGTCCAATGGACTGGATGCACGATACCCATTAGATAGGATTCAC